TTATCTGTTTTCCTGTTGTCTGACATTTAGGTTATTTCTAATCTCATGCTAATACAAATGATGATATTATGAATATTTTTGTATATGAGACTTTGTTTACATAGGTAAATGTATCTGAAGGATAATTTACCTGAAGTGGAAAAATTTCTAGAATTCAGAGAATATGTACCTTTTATATTTTTGTAGCTGTTCCTTCGTTTTTCTATAAGGAAATACCTGTTTCTAGTTCCATCAACAATGTATGAATGTAGCTTTTTCCTTATCCCCTTACTATGAAAGTGTACTGATAACTTTTTTTTCCATTAAAATGAGAGAAGAAAAATAATATCTTGAGGTTTAATTTTCTTTTAAAATAACTGAAGTCATAGGGCACCTGGCTGGCTCAGTTTGTAGAGCATGCAACTCTTGCTCTCAGGGTTGTGAGTTCAGACCCCATGTTGGGCATAGAGTTTACTTTAAAGAAAAAAATAACTGAAGTCACACATTAAAAAATGTGCTTAAAGGCTGTATGGATTTCCTTTTTCATGATCTGTCTGTGCATATCCTTTGTTCATTGTCCTATGTCCATTGGATTGTTTTTTTCTTATTTGTACATTTTTATATAGTAAGAAAATTAGCCTTTTATTATGTGTTGCGAAGTTTTTTAAAATTGATTTGTCACTCATCTTTTTCTTAAATCTTTTTTTTCCAAGTAGATATTTAAATTTTTTATGTTGTCAAATTTATTTTTGTTATGTCTTTAGGCTTTGTGTTATACTTAGAAACGCCTTCCTCTGGGGCGCCTGGGTGGCTCAGTCGTTAAGCATCTGCCTTCAGCTTGGGTCATGATCCCAGGGTCCTGGGCTCGAGCCCCGCATCAGGCTCCTTGCTCTGCGGGAAGCCTGCTTCTCCCTCTCCCACTCCCCCTGCTTGTGTTCCCTCTCTTGCTGTGTCTCTCTCTGTCAAATAAATAAAATCTTTAAAAAAAAAAAAAAAAGGCCTTCCTCAGCTTATATGGTGAAAAATTCTTCTGTGTTTCATTTTAGTAATTTCATTATTTAATTTAAACATTTAATTCTTTGATTCACCTATTTTTTTTATATAAAGGATGATAAGTATTTTTTCTCTCATTTGAGTAATCAAAATTTATAACTGGTCTGGAACAATTATGGTTTGGTAATTGTATGTGGCTGAATAATTTGAGCCTATTTCATCTGTATGTTTGAGCCTATTTCATCTGTATTGTCACGACTCTCAAGATGAGTTTGTCAGAGGTCAGAGAAAAATATCAATGATGTTAATATATGTTGACATCGATAAACTGTAAATAAGTGAAATATATGAGGAATGAAAGAATATCATCAGTTTATCTAAGTAAATAGTGATTTAAAGTTTCGTTTTATTTTTAAAAATCTTCATAAGTAGTACTATTCAGTCCATTTGTTTCTGAATTTAATATGGCCAGTTATTCCAAGTACTATATATATATGTGCATATATATATAAAATCTGAAAAAAATATTTTTAAATATATTTATAAATATATAATATATATACATAATCTGAAAAATACATGCAAGAGTCTTTTGTTCTCTCTGTCATGCAGAGTTTATCAGTAGCTGAGAAGATAAAGAGGGACTAGGTAAATTATATTCCTTTTTTTAACTACACAAAATGCTATTTATTAGCCTCCTGAGGACCACATTGTAGCTAGCGTAGTAGGAACAGGAATATTTTGACAAATTGGAAGCTTCTGGACACTTACTAGAGTGCCCTTTTCTTTTAAATTTATGGACAGTTGGTGGTGAGGATGATGTTAGAATTCTCTGGTATTTATAATCTTTCTACACTTGCACTTTTCCATGGTGTTTTACTTTGCTCCTAGAGGCTTTATTTAATAGTTTACATCAGAGGTTTTTTAAAGATTTTATTTATTTATTTGAGAGAGAAAGAGAATGAACAGAGAAGAGGGAGAAGCAGACCCCTACTGAGCAGGGAGCCTGAAATGGGGCTCGATCCCAGGACCCTGGGATCATGACCTGAGCCGAAGGCAGATTCTTACTCGACTGAGCCACCCAGGCACCCCTCCTTTTTTTTTTTTAAAGTAATCTCTATGCCCAACACGGGGCTTAAATTTGTGACCCTGAGATCAAGAGTTGCGTGCTCTGCTGACTGAGCCAGCTAGGCGCCCCAGTTCATATCAGAGTTTTAAGCAGTTTCTTGTCTGTCAAGATACTCTACCAAAAAGGTCCTTTGATCTTGTATGTATGGTTTCTCCCCTCTCAGATTCACAGTGTACAAAATAAAAGCTCTGAGAGCTCTTCCACTAAAGCAGAATCTCATTTATCTTTGTTCATCCAAGTATTCTGAGGACCTAAGAGTTCTTAGAGGAACATATTTTGGGAAATGCTACTGTATATGGAGGTAATAGAATGCAGAACTATTTATTTATTTATTTATTTATTCATTCATTCATTCATTCATTCATTCATTTTAAGAGAGCACTAGTGGGGGGTAGATAAGGGAAGGGCAGAGGGAAAGGGAGAATCAGACTCCCTGCTGAGCATGGAGCCTGACCGGGGCTCCGTCCCAGGACCCTGAGATCATGACCTGTGCTGAAGTCAAATGCTTAACCGACTGAGACACCCAGGCACCCCAGAACCCTTCTTTTGTTAATCTGATTCTTATCTATATTGGCAATGAACCAAAATTATTACTCTGACAAGTAGGAAATGCTGTAATAGTAGGAACATGTCTTTTTCACCTTTAGGCTACATTTGAACCTAACCATTTTACTTTTTAAGGCTGTTATTTGTATTTTTATGTCATACCCTTCAGTTTTCAAATACAAGGTTGGCTTTCATAACTTATGGCTAGTACTGCCCTTATTTGGAGTCATGATGAGTATGTTTTCCAAAATGAAATCAGTTTTATACATTGTCAGTATCTCATACATTGGGTTGATTATGTAGATAAAATAATAAAAAATCAAGACTCTTTAGGAAAATCCTTGTTATTTGCTAAATGTTACATTAGTCCATTCATTTTCAAGCAGTATGTTTCATGATCATAGTTTAAAACAACAAACTAACCAGAATACATTCTTAGTTAGCCACTTGTAGTATCAGGGAGTTGAGGGATATAACTGGACATGGAGGGGCACCTGGGTGACTCAGATGGTTGGGCATCTGCCTTTGGCTTGGGTCATGATCTCTGGGTCCTGGAATCGGGTCCTGGGATCGAGCCCCGCATTGGGCTCCCTGCTCAGCGGGGAGTCTGCTTTTCCCTCTCCCTCTGCTGCTGCTCTCCTTGCTTGTGCTCTCTCTCTTAAATGAATACAAAAAAAAAGAACTGGACCCTGATATTTGAAATTTCTAGGGTATTTTAATGTTTCAAACTGTCCTGGAAATCTAGGACATGGCATCCCTGTAAACAGAGGAAAAATAGTGGCTGCTTATGTAGGAGATCAGCTCTGCCTTTCTTCTTTCTGTGGAATTTGTCCTTTTTAAAGCAAATGTCTCTATGGGAGTCAATTATTTTTCTAAGTATTGGTGTGTTACATATCAGATCTGACCTCTTTTGAATGGAGGGATTGGACTTAGTCTTAAAGAAAGACATGGGGAAGCAAATTACACTTTTACACTTTTTGTTTTAATTTTACTCAGGATGAGCCTCATTAGAATTGTGAACTGTCTGTCTGGATACTGCTGTCTAAAGTTTCTTCTCTTGGGACTCTGATGCAGTTCATGACTTTCCTGTTTAAAAATGAGTAATGTTTGACTCATTCACTCCCTTTGGTTTTAAGGTCACTATTATTAAGTCATAGAAAACTTAATGATTTGGAAAAAACAAAAAACAGGTCTTAAATCGCCAAGATACAGTTTACAGCAGGTTTTTTTTTTCTTTTTGATTTCCAAAAACTGGTGTTTGTCTTGAAATTCCATGGTAGTAGCCAAATTACCAAATCTGCCAGTCCAAAAAGATTCATTGATACATTAAAATTTATGTTTTTTTTTTTTAAGTAGCCTCCGCGGCCAATGCAGAACCCAATGCAGGGCTTGAACTCACCACCCTGAGATTAAGACCTGAGCTGAGATCAAGAGTCAGATGCTTACCTGACTGAGCCACCCAGGTGCTCCTAAAATGTATGTTTTAAAAGTTTTGTTTTTATTTTTATTTTTTTCAATTTAAAACTTGGGCACCTGGGTGGCTCAGTCAGTTAAGTGTCTGCCTTCAGCTCGAGTCATGATCCCAGAGTGTTGGGATCAAATCCCGCATCAGGCTCCCTGCTCAGTGGGGAGTCTGCTTCTCCCTCTCTCTCTCTACCCCTCCCCCCTGCTAGTGCGCAAACTCGCTCTCTCTCTATAGCTCTCATGCTTGCTCTCTCTCTCTCAAATAAATGAAATCTTTAATTTAAAAAAAGTTTAAAACTTATGGTCATTGCATAACATTTGGGTAAGAGAAAATTTTAACAAAATAAAAATAACCCATAATTTTATATTCAGAGATAATAGCATAGTTAATATTTTGATCCTGTTTCTTTCATTTTTTAAGTGCAGCTGTCAATATGGTTGAGATCATATTTTCTCTTTGGCTTATATTTGTATTCTTTCCCTTAATACAACTTTTTGTATGTATGTATGTAATCTCTACACCCAACATGGGGCTCGAACTTAGGACCCTGAGATCAAGAGTCTCATGCTCCTGAGTGAGCCAGCCAGTTGCCCTCCCTTAGTATTAACTGTAAATTGCCAAGGAAAAAAGCCCGAGTTTTCTTTTGTATTCATTCATTCATTCACTTAATCAAAAAAATGTAAATATATATGTTTATAACCGTATGTATATATAAAAACATATATATATATTTTCAAGGTAATATGTTGGCTGCTTCTTGGAAAGTTTATTGTCTTTCAGGATACAAAAGTTTTCTGTGTAAAGCAGAGCATGAAGAATTTCCCTGTTCTCTTGAAGTTCAGAGAAGGAAACCCTCTGGATTATCTGACAAAGTTTCTCTGTTTGTAGATTCCTCTCTTTGGTGCTAAGACTCTTGGTCGGAGAAGTCCTGATGGACCATTGTTGAGCAAAGCTGAATTTGTTGAGAAGGTTCGTCAGAGTAACCAGGCCTGTCATGATGGAGATTTTCACACAGCTATTGTTCTGTACAATGAAGCCTTGGCTGTTGACCCTCAGAACTGCATCTTATACAGCAATAGATCTGCAGCCTATATGAAAATCCAGCAGTATGACAAGGCACTGGATGATGCAATCAAAGCTCGACTTCTCAATCCCAAATGGCCAAAGGTAGAAATTTCATTTACTTTGACAGATTCTTTTGTGCTGATTTCTTATTTTAATGTAACATTTTACTGAATTTGCAGTTATTAATATTTTAATAGTCTGTACATCAGCAAAGTGTAGAAGGGCCTCGTTGAGCTGGTACACTAGTGAATGGCTTCCCTTTTTAATGCTTGGAAACTGCTGTCCATGTTCAAGTTTAATTCTTTTTCTGTATGTTTGGAATTTGAATTATTTTTTTCACTTAGCTCCTTGATAGGATACATTTTAGTCATTTGTATAGGTTTTGACATCTTCTTTTTGCACAGATGTTTCAGATGGAGATGGTTTCTTTCTTCCAACTTAAAATAATTAATTTTATTATTCCCTGTTAATGACTGCTTGTTTTCAGATGGTATTTAATCAGAGAAACTTATTTTTTCTAATACACCATTTTAATTATCTATGTTTCCTTGAATAGTTTAAGACTTGAATTATCTTTGCTTTGTACATACTTTGTTTTCAGTGTGCCTATTCACCGTCTAACCCCCAGTCTATTTTAGAAAATATTTCTTAAGATGTGCTGAAATGTTTGAGATATTTTTTTATTGAATCACAAAAGCATTTGATCCCGTTCTTGGCTTTGTGTTATGTTAACAAAAGTTGATGGATATTTGCTAGAGATTTAAAAAATATCCTTACTGTCTTATTAATGTCATAGTCATATTACTTTATACTTTAACTCTGGTGGGTATTTTTGTCCTCATTCAGTGGAATTTCCAGTGTTGCTGCTGCCTCATGAATTGTTTAGTATTTTGTAATTCCCTAAAGGAGTTCTTTTGTAACTATAATTATTGTAGATTAAACAAAGTCTGTTTTAAAAAATTGTTATATGACATCATTTGGGAGTTAGAATGCTGTTACCAAAGGACAGACCCAAGTTCAAATTCCTTATCTTTTGTTAATGACAGTATAGCTTTTGGTAAATTTCTTAACCTCTCTAGGGTTAAGATAAATGGGATAATAATACTTATCTTGTAAGGCTACTTAAGAGTCAGATAATATGGTACTTGTTCATAGTATGTGTTTGGTAGATAATAGCTTTGAATGTGACATTTTTATTAAAGGTACAAATTAGTAAATTATTCTAGCAAGACTTGGCATGTGTCTTCTCTTTCTCATTTCCTTTTTCTTTTAAAGTCTGTATTGATGCAATGAGCCTGATAAATAGCTTAATTTTCAAATTAAGTATCTCCATTCCTTCCTTTTTTGGATCTACTTATTTTATATTCTTCTTATATTTGTGAACACTTAAAAAAAAGATTATTTCAGAAAGAGCAAGTGAGAACAGCAGGGAGGGGCAGAGGGAGAGGGATAGAAATCTTAAGCACACTCCTGACCTGGGGCTTGATCCCACGACTCTGAGATCACCATGTGAGCTGAAACCAAGAGTCCGCCACTTAACCAACTGCCACTTAGGTGCCCCCTATTTGTGAACACTTTTAAACTTTTATCCTTTTCCTTTTTCTATGTCATTCCACTTTCTTTTGTCAATGTCTTGTGATTTAACTCAACACACAAAAATGGCTTTAAAAGGTACACTTTTATGATTATAGATGAAAAATCAGCCTTTTAAGGTAACTTCTATCAAGGTTTATTCTCTGATTTTTTTCTTTTCTTTTTTTTAATTAAAGATTTTATTTATTTATTTGACACACAGAGAGAGACAGCAAGAGAGGGAACACAGCAGGGGGAGTGGGAGAGGGAGAAGCCTGCTTCTCAAATAAATAAAATCTTCTTCAAATAAATAAAATCTTAAAAAAAAATTTACCTCCATATTTGACTTTAAGCAAACTTAACAGGGATATATAGAATTATATAAAATAGAAATTAGTTTTTATTATTGAGATTATGAACAGGTTTTCATATACAATATGATTCATAATAAAATTAATTTATAAAGAAATTTCCACTGCTGCATAATTTTTTTCTCATTTCAAAAAAACTTGATTTTATACTTATTTTTCTAGGAATATACTCATTCTGTAAAAGAAGGTTCACTTGTACTCTTTTGTTATAAAGATATGTCTTGAAATTTTATCATTTCACTTTTCTTTTTCATTTTGACTTTTTTAACTTTTCAGTATAATCCTTTTGCCTTTCTGAAGTGCTTCTCTGAAATGTCAGTATTATCTAGTTTGATGAGGGAAAACATAAAACCCAATTTCTATCTCTTCCAAGCTCTGTCTCTATGGTAGTTTTTTATGTAAACATCCAAGGGTTCTGGAGATTGGATAGAGAGTCTTTTATTTATGTGTATTTTGTCTGAATGAAAAATGATTTTGGTTTGATATGGGCTGCAAAAGAGGTATGAACAAAGCCCTATGAAAGCCTCCCAAAAACAATAAGCCCAGTCTTATTACTAATTATGATACTTATCCCTGTCCCTTAGCTATTGTCTGTTTATGTTCGTTTTTTTTGTGTCCTGTTTAAGAAATATTTAGGGGCGCCTGGGTGGCTCAGTCATTAAGCGTCTGCCTTCGGCTCAGGTCATGATCCCAGGGTCCTGGGATCGAGCCCCACATCGGGCTCTCTGCTCCGCGGGAAGCCTGCTTCTCCCTCTCCCACTCTCCCTGCTTGTGTTCCTCTCTCGCTGTGTCTCTCTCTGTCAAATAAATAAAATCTTAAAAAAAAAAAAAAATTTATCTTACTCAGGGTTATAAAGTTTTTCTTAGGTTCTTTTCTAGAATTATTATATATATTTTTTAAAGATTTTATTTATTTATTTGACAGTGGGAGAGGGAGAAGCAGGCTTCCCGCCGAGCAGTGAGCCCGATGCGGGGCTTGATCCCAGGACCCCAGGATCATGACCTGAGCCGAAGGCAGACGCTTAACCAACTGAGGCACCCAGGCGCCCCCATCAATTTCTACTCTTTATTATTATTTCCTTCCTTCTAATAATTTTACATTTAATTTGCTCCCTTTTTTTTTCTTAAGATGGGAACTTAGGCCATTGATTTTAAATATTTCTTCTTTTTTTAAACATAAGCACTTAAAACTAAAATATTCTCTCCTAGCACTGCTTTTGCTGCATCCCACAAATTTTGACATTATATTTTGTCATTCTCTTCAGAAATATTATAATATTTTAGAAATATTAGAAATATTAAATATGTTCTTAGATTCCTTGGGAGTGCTTCTTTGATCCATGGGTTATTTAGAAGTTTATTGCTTAATTTTCTAATATTTCTTATTTTTAAAGTTATCTTATTGTTGATATCTAACTTAAATGCATTGTGGTTGATGAACACATTTAGTATGATATTAATTTTTAAAAATTTACTGGGGTTTGTCTTATGGCTCATTGTATGTTTTATCCTGTTGAACCTGCTGTGAGTGCTTGAAAAGAATATGTATTCTGCAGTTGTTAGGCTCGATTCTATAGATATCAGTTAACTCAAGGTGATTGACACTGTTGTTCATGTCTTCTGTGTCTTTGATGCCTTTGTTTTTGTTTTGTTTTTGTCTAATTATTCCATCAGTTATTGGAATAAAGAAGTTAAAATCCACAATTAAGATTTTGGAATTGGCTCTTTCTTTAATATTGCCAATTTTTGCTTCATGTTTTTTGAGGCTTTATTATTAACATATACCCTTTTATTATTCTGTCTTCTTGATGAATTAATCCTTTTATTATTATGCAAGGTCCCCCCCTTTTTTTTAAGATTTTTTAATTTATTTGACAGAGAGAGACACACAGTGAGAGAGCAAACACAAGCAGGGGGAGTGGGAGAGGGAGAAGCAGGCCTCCTGCTGAGCAGGGAGCCCGATGCAGGGCTCAATCCCAGGACCCTGGGATCATGACCTGAGCCAAAGGCAGATGCTTAACGACTGAGCTACCCAGGCGCCCCTATGCAAGGTCCCTTTTTATCTGTGTGGTAATTATTGTCCTTAAATCTATTTTGTTTGATACTAACATAACCACTCCAACTTTCTTTTACTTACTCTTTGCATTATATATCTTCTTATACCCATATATTTTCAACTTCCCTGGGCCTTTATATTTAATATTTATCTCTTTTGGATAGTATATAATTGCTTGTCTTTTAAATAAATTTTGTCAGTCTCTGCCTTTTAATTGGAATCTTTGTCAATTACCATTTAATGTAATTATTGATCATGTTGACTTTTTTCTGTACCATTTTTTTTCTTTGTATTCTCTGTTTTTGTTCCTCTGTTACTCATTTCCTATTGTTTATTGGGTTTTTTTGGACTACTTTTTGAGTTGATTTTTTTTTTCTCGTGAGAGTTTTTCATTGTTTTTGATTGTTGTTGATGTTGTTTGGCAGGTTTTTATCTTGGTTAGAATAGTATGCATACTTTGTTTCTTGAATTGCAGCTCTAGTTTCAGTGCAGATATTTTGTCTTTATTTGAACTGCTTTAAATTTGTTCCATAGCTGTATAACTCGAGGGTTAACTAAAGATGTAGGTAAACAGAATTTGAGTATCTTTTTTCCGGTTCTTTTCCTTCTGGGATTGCTTTCCTCCTTGCCCAAAGGCAGTGGTTCCTGTGCTTCAGTATTCTGATTTCCTCAGCCAGAAGGACAATGTTCCTGTCACCCTGCTCACCACTCTGATTGGGAATTCACCTCATAGCTCTCTTCCTCCAGAATCTGTCTGCTTTCTCTTCACTCTCCAGTGCTTTCAGGTAGGTCCTTTTTGTATTATATCTAGATTTTATAGTTGTTTTCTGTGTGGGAGTGGGTTCACTAGGATCTTGCTTCGTAGTTAGTGGAAACAGAAGTGATGTCTTTCCAGTGATATAAGGTCTTATGTTCAGTGGATCCCCAACAAAGTCATCTTGCTTTCTTAGACCCAGTGGCTTTCTTGATGTTTTGAGTTCTCTTTTTGGGGTCATTGTTCCCAGTTACTGGTCTCATTCATTTAGAATATTTATCTCCATTTCCTTTTTCATTCTTTGAATTGGTCAGTAAGTCTTCTGCATTCTTTCTTGAATGTAGTCCAT